ACCTCTGGGGTCTTCTTTCATGATTATTTTTCGGGTTGCGGTGCAAAAGAAAGTCGTCTAAAAAGTTATCATCGACCCTACCCAACGAAGTTTCAGGATCTTCTTTCACGATCTTCTTTCAGTTACAGTGCAGGAGAGTTGTCGTCATCCCTGCCCAACAGACGATCAGCATGTTCATCTTTCTTGTTGCAGTGAAGAAGAAATTTGTCTTCATCACTGCCTAGCAGGTGACTTAAGATCTTCTTTCTTGTGTTGTGAAGTACAAAACTTGTCCCCGTCCCTACGTAAAGAATAAAGTAGTCCTGATAGTTATCTTGGACTCTGCTTAGCAGGACCTCATAAATATTCTTACGCGATCTTCTTTTTGGTTGCGGTGTAAAATAAAGTCGTCTAAGAATTTCTCCTCGACCCTACCCAACAAGACCTTCGAGAGTTTCTTTCTCAGTCTTCTTTCGGGTTGCGGTGCAGAAGAAACTTGTCCCCGTGCCTATCTAGCAGGTGACCCAGGATCTTCTTTCTTGCTATGAGATGAAGAAAGTTATTCACATCCCTGCCCAACAAATGAGCATAGATCTTCTTTCTCTTTACTGTTGCACATTACAGTGGTGATTTTCCTGCGACTGTCGTGCATTCCAAAGGAAATGAAGAAAATTTGAAGTTTTCCCGCCACGCTTTTTGGTGGAGAATTCCTTGTTGCTATTGCATTCCGAGGGAGATTCCTAGTGTTACCATTGCACATTTTGGGGAAGATTCTCATGTTGTTGTTACACATTTCAAGGGAGATTCATGCGCTTTTGTAATGGCAATATCTGGAGAATCGTGTCCTCCCTAAAGATTAGTAGAAGTATCAAAATTTTGATGAGGCGATCTGCCACTATTCAAAGATGAGTCGGCCTCATGTAGCCTTTGTATTAGTATTTGTTGATCTTTTTGGCTTTTTAATAGTTAAGTGTGGCATTTGTAGAAGATGACAATGTATTTCTTTGTACGTCCTTGTTGTTACTTCTGAGCTTGTTTTTATCTTTTCTTCTGAGCCACGCTCACTCAATTTTTAGGATGCTTTTGCCCACCTTTGAAGAGTTGTTAATGTCGACCTCTTCTGAGGCTTATATCTTTTGAGATTTTGTGGCCTCTCAAGCATCAAGAAATCTTCAATAAAATTTAGTATGTACACTTTATAGAAAAGAATCGCATATCATTTGAGGCTTGTGATTTCTAGGAGCTCGAAATGCATGGATGTCTTCTGTTGCTTATATCCTTTTGAGTTCTTTGATACACATGTATCTTCTAAGGCTTCCAGTATTTGAGGTCTTTAATATACTTGAGCCTTCTAAGTCTTGTAACCTTATGATATCTTTGATGTAATTGTGACTTTTGAGGCTTGTAGCATTCTGATGTCTTTGAGTGGAGACCCTATCAATCATTTGCTCTCTTGGAGTCTTTCTAGTGAGTATCATGTTCACTACTAGCTTCTCATCAAGACTTGCCTTTTCAGCCCGTCTTATAGGTGCATGGTAGCTTCCCATCAAGGCTTGTCTCCTGGGCTTGACTTTCAGGGGTACCGTATCTTCCTATCGTGTCTTGATTCTTAGGCTCGACTTCTAGGGGTATCATATCTTTCCATTGAGTTTAACCTCTTAAGCTAGGCTGCTAGGGATATGATATCTTCTCATTGAGTCTTGTCTCTTAGGTTTATCTTCCAAGGGTAGAATATATTTATATCGAGTCTTGCCTCTTGGGCTCAAATTTCAAGGCTATGATATCTTCCCATTAATTTTAGTCTCTTGGGCTCGACTGTTAGAAGTTTGATATCTTCTTATCGAGTCTTGCATATTGGGCTAGACTTATTTAGGTATGACATCATTACATTGAGAATTCCTCCTGGGCTTGTCTTCAAGCACCTTAGCTTCTCATTGAATCTTGTCCCTTAAGCTCAACTTCCTTGAGTATGGTGGAGACATTTTTAATCATTGTGATTGTTCCACTTTTTTTAAGTTGTCAGTCAAAGTGCATCTGTTTGATGAATATAGATTGTATTAGAGTAGACTTGAAAGGAGAATTCTCAAGGATGTAGGACCTGTCGTGGGTTGTATGGTCAGAGACATTCGACGACATTAACACATAATTGACAAAATCATATCACTAAGGATAATTGAACTATCTAAGGTTTTTTTTTAGTCAAAGCTTCTTCTTGATGACCATAACTTGTTATAGAAGAGGTTGAATGAAATCTACCAAATTTTTTTTACCTATCAAAGGTTGTTAGTCGAAGTTTCTGATTGACGACAGTAGCCTGTGATGAAAGATGTTGAATCGAGTCCCCCTAGAGTCGATTAAGCCCTGAATGAGGATTAAAAAAAGCTCCATGTTTATCGAGGCTAGGGCATAGGTCACAATTGACCATACATTTTTTTGTAAATATGTTTGCATCCATACTCAAGAATAATGTTTGACAGCTTGTTAGTTATGGCTTCTGAATCTTTTGCCTCACTACTTGCGTATTTTCCACATGAGCTTGTAAAAGAACCTTTGTATCAATCCTTAAGGAGATTAGCTTCCGAATTCAATTGAAGAGGAACTTCAGTATGGTGAGGGGCACTAAGGAAGCGTTATTTGCAATGAAGATTGCCCCCGGTTTATAAGCGGTTCTCAAATACTTATTTTCTGAATGAAATGTGGGATGACTACCTTACCACAGTCATGCCCGGGATGTTAACATTAATGACCTTTCAAGGCTGGAGTGATGGTTACCCTCTTCTTGAAAGAAGTTGTGAAAAACTTTGTATTTGAATAGGATGTGAGAAGAATACCCCACTACATCATGTCCAGGATGTTGATGTGAATTATCTTTCGAGATTGCAGTAAAGGTTACCCCCTACATCAAAGAATGTTTCAAAGATGGTTTTCAAGATGCAAAGGAGGTTCCTTCGTTAGTTAAATGATTTACATCACTAGAATACAAAATAGGGGCTTGGTGTCATGGAGTTGAAGACAGTGTTGGAAAAGATTTTGTTTCCCACTGGCGGCACCAAAAAAATGCATGTTAGAAGATTCATAGTGGTAGAGTAATGATTATCTATTGTCTTAGTGTTGCACGAAAAACTAACACACACTCAGGCAATTAAAGAGAAGTAAGCAAGAGGAGACACCTCAAAATTTTACATGGAAAACCCTTGAAAGGGAGAAAAATCACTGGGACTTGCTCAGTTGAAATAATCCACTATGAATGCTGAGCACACATATTCTCTCTCTCATTAATTGGGGAAAATGTAATTACAAAGTGATACATCTATAATCTGGTTGTAGTTTTTCGCGACAGTAGGCTGCAAGGGCCATTGTCGATTACCGTGGAGATAGTAGTCCGTCGTGAGTGTTATAGGTGGTGACTGTAGCATCAAATTGTCTTAGAAGTTGCAGTTGATAACCATAAAGTAGTCGGTTAGTTGAGTCGTAGATGGTTGCTTCAGAAGTGTCGGTTGACCATAGAGGTCGTAGTAGGGATTTGCGAGAGTTGTGGACCACGTAAGTCATATAGGTCATAGTGGTGAGCTGTGATGACGTCCATGGGTCGTAGAGGCCAGAATCAATAGCTGCACGATCTATGGATCACATAGGTTGCAGTGGTCAACTAAAATTCAAGCATTTTTATATATTAACGCACTTGAGATGTAGAAATTTTTTATTAGGAAGATGTACATACATACCACTCAATTCTTATGTATTTACATAGCTAACATCCCAGACAATAACTTATTTGAACACGGGGCACTTCTACCTAGCCATTGTTTCGGCACAGGCGTGATGATCAGGGATGGTACCTGCGAGTTACTTGGCGTTATGGGGGCAGTTTGTATTTCACTAGGACAACAACTTTGTTGAACTCAAGGTCTGCATTCATCCTTGGATGTTGGAGATCAATGGCATGAAAATGAGAATGTTATCAACTAATTAAGGGGCATGATGGCCCAAAAGACTTCGAAAGACCACTCGGAACTTAGTCACTCTTTTGCTTTTCTTACCTCATTTAGACAAATTATTTTTCATTTTGTAACTCGGGAGCCTAGTAGAGCTCTCATTTTTGTGCCCGAAAGGCTCTTAGCTTTTCATTTGATTAGGTCCCTAAATTCTCAGAGCTTTTGTCATCCTCCTGAATGATAGGACCTCTTTTGCACATGCATTAGGACGTGTTTTTTGTACATCTTTGTATTCCTTTTTACACTTAATGCAATATGCACACCTTTATATAGGCATGAACTATGTCAGCAATCAACATACTTTCTAAACAATAAATAATAAGCTTACGAAGCAAATCTAATCCCGTCAGAACAATCAATTAATGACCATTATAACTTTTAAAGGGCAAGATTTTGGGCATTATATGTCAACAGAATGCGTAGAACAAGTAGAGATCAAGCCACCCTCAACTTGAGCTTGATCAATTAATTAATTTCAAGTTTAAGCTTAAACTTAATTCTACGAATTCAAACCAGCTAACAAATCATTTTATATTCATTATTGAAATAGATAAAACAATATTAATTCATGCAAGCATTATAATAAAAAAGACAAATAGTAGCAATTGGAGATAAATAATAAAAGATTACTAGATATAAAAAATAAAAAATATTATTTTTAAAATATATTTTATTAATTTAAATATAAAATTTTGAATTTTAATATATTTTATGCATATTTTATATTTATATTTTTTTAACAAGCCTATGATCCTACTTAGAGGTTGCTCAATCTGCCATAAAAATAAAAATAAATTAAATAAATGCATAAAATTCTCCTTGAATTTGAAATTCTTCAATACCGTTACGATCACTGATTAATACCTTTTTCTTAATTTCTCTCCCCTATAAAAATGTAAAGTTCATCTTTACCTTAGTGATTGCTGCACATTTATAATGTCAAAACATCTGCAACAAACAAAACAGCACCTTGCAATGATGATTGGCAGGATAGAACGATGTAAAGAAGCAGACAGACTCCATATATTTCCCATGAGCGCAAATTTAATTAAGGATGAAAATAAAGCATGATTGGCAAAACAAATAATTAGTAGTAAGAAATGCTTTTCCCGTCAAGTTTGTATGGCCGGGACTTATTTATAAACTCAAAACCTTGGCATTAGAATCCAAAGCTCTCACCAACGCTCTGATTGGCATCCATAGAAATCTTACAAGTAAGAATTGAGAGAAACATCTATCCCAAAAACCTCCTCTATCGCCATTCCAGGGTCTTCCTTTTTTATTAGGGATTCCCCCACCAAAACCTGCAATAACAATGGATGCAGTAGTTTTCATGACTAAAACCAACAAAAATTTCGATATCCATTTGATAATCAACCGTATTTAACCAAAGCCCGGTCGAGATGAATTGTGAGCCAACTCAGGTTTAGCTAGAAGATGGCGCACAAGGTAAGCTCAATGAACTAAGAAGTCCTGATCGATTCAATTCATTAGCTTGTGAGCAGGCTAATTGAACAAATATTAATACAAAATGGACTTAAAACATAAATCATTAATAATGGTTAAAATTTCTATTTCACTTCCTTGTAATAAAAGATTTAGTTGTTGTTTTGTTCTAACGGTTTGTTGAATCAAAATCATTTTCTCCTTCATAAAATATATGCCAGCTCACGAGCCGATTTGAAATCGTAGAATTAAGCTGAAGCTCAAACTAGAGGTGGCTCGATCTCAACTTGACTCGGTTACACCCTTACTTGAGGATTACAATCCTCGAATCTAATGATTACTGCCAAACTAATAACTCAAGTACAAAACTAAAGGAATTACCGCATGGGCGCCTGCATCTTGAACAAACGTAATATCTTGAGGTGTAAATAATCCAGACTCGCTCACCACCTGAAACATAAATAATCTACAGTAAAGGACCGCGAGAATCAAGGAAACAAAATAAAAGTCATACAGATCGTATAAAACACAAGAAAACATAAGATAAGGTGAAAGCTTTTGAGTCTTTTGCTTGGGTTTGCAGCGCAGAATATTTATGAGAAGCATGAAGACGTGGAAAAAAACCTATGGGCATTAACATGGTCAATAGCAACATGAATTTTATACAGAAACGGAATACTTCAGCAATCTATAAAAATATGAAGTACTTCAGATATAAGTTCTCATTAAAATGGTGCACAGAATCTTGCTTACAGTTATGCCTTTTTGGCGGATGATCTCGCCTCTTTCTCCCTCTAGAAGCTTTTTTGTGTTTGAAATATCAACTGTAAAAGTTCCTGCAGAAAGCCAAATATGGTTTTGTTGACGCAACAAAATATGAAAAAAATAATAATAATAAAGGATTGCAATAAACATTTTTCACCCCGGTATTAAATATTTATCAGGGTTTTCAATGTATACAAACAACAGCTGTACACCAAGAATGTGCTAGCGCTAATCCTGAAGAAATCTAATGGTCTAGAGGATGAGAGTAGGACAAAGTAGGACCCATCAACAGAAGACTTATCCCATCCAACCGGATGCAACCATCCGAGCTATAGCCAAAACCGACCGAGTCACGAGAAGAACAAAAAGAAGACCAAGTGATTAGAGCCCGAACCATTCGAACTGATACGAGACAAATAGACATCCGAACCAACCATTACAAGAAAGCCGACTCAATACAATAGCCTACCTTCCGATAGATCCGATCCGAGAAAAGATCTAGTTCCTCGATATCACCAACATTCCCACGAACACCCCCAACAGAGCGATAGGCTCATATATATCAAGAATACCATGTATGACACTCATTAAATCATGGGCATTAATATATAACATCACCATATTGTACTCTCCCTTATGTTTAGGGAGACCATTTCATAAATTAGGGTTAGACAAGAGGTTTTACTGTTCATTATTGTGCACTTTTCATTTCATTCTCTATCTCCATCTCTTTCTCTATTCTTATTCTCTAATCCCTCGAGGGGTGATTCTCAGACAAATTTGAATTCAATACAGGCAAATGGAAACGATGGATAAAAATGGGAGTCACATAAGCAATTTCAATTAGTTTTAACAAAGTTGTAATCAATGAAACAATATCCATGCGCTTGATTTTTTATATTACCCACCGTGCTTTATTTAATGTTCTGCCTGTGGTCTAGTCATTAATTAATTTTGATCTACCCATATTAGCTTCTTCCTATTCTTTAACACATGATTTTATATCCCATCTGTTGAGATTTGTATCTAATGAACTATTTGTAAATAGAAGAAATCTAAGAATTTATTTGTAAATATTGGAAGGCTCAATATAAGCCCAAGTGTTAATGAAGTAAGAAGATTTTTCAGAGAGATTAATTCTTTACCGTATCAGAGCCCAAACGTTGGTCGTTGCTACAGTGCGTTTAGTGTGGGTTACGGCTTACCAATTCGAGCGTGGAGGAGCGACACTGTGCGAGGCGATGTAGAAGAAGGCAACGTGCAACAGAAACTGAAAGAACAGTGGAGTAGCAAGGAAGCAGCAGTTCTATGGCAAGGTTTCGGACGCAAGGATCCTGCGATTTTGCATGCGGGATTGATCGCGAGAGGAAGTCGGCTTTGTGGTTAGGTTTTAGACGCAATGATCCTACGGTCCTACATGTGGGAATGATCGTGGGAGGAAGTAGATGATCAAACGGCTCCTTACAGTTGCAACAAGGAGAAAAAGGTATTCATGGCTTACGGGTACGAGTGGTGAGAATGATCTTTGTGGTTCTCATAAGCAAGGGAGAGGATGGCGTAGGCGTAGCGTGAATAGGGGAAAAAAGCGTTTGACTCTGCGTGGGAGAACAGTCGGAGAATTCTCTGTTTAGAACAACTCTAGATGAAAAGTCATGTGTGTTCTGTGTGGTATAGACTTATCCTTGTGATTGAAGATGTCAAGAGACAGATAATACAGAAGGTAAAGGATTAGAACTTTTGGGGAAGATAGAACCTGAAGTTCTGAAGGCCTTGGTCGGGCTAATACAAGGAGTTAGCGTCTCGACGGGAATCACTACCTCAGCACGTGCTCCGACGCAGGTGAAACTAGATCTCCCTTCTGTGGATCTTAAGCTCGATAGATTGACCACTTATCTCAGTTGGTCACGTCAGATCGAGGCTACTCTAGTAAGGAAGAGACTAGAATAATATCTACCAGAGTCAAGCCAAAATAGTGATAGTACTAAAGGGGATGAGTGGAGGACTACAAGTGCACTGATTTACACCTGACTACTCAACTCGATGGTTTCATTGACTGCTACATCAATGGATGGCATTCTAAAGGTAAATAACATCTGCGCAAAGCTGAAGAGAACCTATGTTGGGATTTAGAATCACATGATGGTGTTCCAGATTCAGCGTGTCATAAAGATAATGGTATAGGGTGATGAATCGACTCAAAAGTACTCCATAGAGTTGGAGTAGCTGTGGCAAAATTTTGATCACTTCTTACCTATGTCAAGATGTAGTGATCCAGGGCGCAAGAAGGGAGAGATCTTTGCACAAATGAATACTATGCAGTTTTTCGCTCTTTTGAACCTGACCTTTGATTAGAGAAGATCGTTCCTCCTAGCCCATGCAACGATTCCTTCACTGGATGAGGCCATCACCGCTAAGATGCAGGAAGAGAGTCGCATGAGGCTACAATGAACCGAGTGGACTTTCAAGTACACGATCAGCTTTGTCTGCTTAGAGCTCAAGTACAACAAGTGCTTAGGAGGAGACCCGCAGGTGCTATAACCGTGGAGAAGTAGGACAACTGAGCAAGGCTTGTCCAAAGCCACTCAAGGAAAACGAGACAGGTAAGGGGTGGAAGAGGGGGGCACTGGGTGAATATGATGGTAATGAAGAATGAAGGAGAGATGGAGATGGTCATTACCAATGAGGATCACAAGCTCTTAGAGATGTTGAAGAGGAAGCAGAAAGCGGCGTGTGATGTGACTGAAGATGCATCTGCCTTATCGTCATAAAAAATTAATACTACTACATATGCTCACTCAACCAAAGGTACTCACAATACATATGCTCTTGCCTCTAAATTTACCACAAGATCACCAGCATGAATAGTAGATTTTGGTGTATCTTGACACGTGACAGGTGCTGCTAGTGAGTTTGTGACTGCATTTGGTTTTAATTTAGACTTCTTGTATTTTTACATGATTTCTACTTTTAAACTTAATAGTTGTTGTGTTTTCTCCAAGAATTATGAGTAGTTTTCTTTATCTTTTTTCTTAAAATGATAAGTAATTAAGTATTGGTGAAAGATGTGTGAAGTATTGATCTATAATGTTGGAATAAGTTATGATGATTTAATCATTGTACTTCATTTATTTCTTGATTTGGCCAATTGAGATGTGAATATTTATTATGAGAACATGTAAGATCAGTGATGATATTGTCTCAGTCAACTAATGGTAGAATCACTTGAGATTGTATTGATGATAATATAATTCATATGGTTGTGTGCAAATAAATGAAGAAATAAACTTTGAAGGGTGTAGAGTTAGAGGACTTTAGAGTGACAGACTAAAGCCCCCAATTCGGTCTATTGTTTTGAGTTTTGATACGAGATGTTAGCCCCCAGATGGAGGGAGAGAGGGAACTCTAGAGTGAGAGCTAGTATCTTCCCTACCTAGCCCGTCTTCAGGATTCTTTATAGCATCTCTAGTAAGGTAAGGAATAATATTGCTCCTATTTGGCACAACATAATTTTAATACTTTCACAATAAAATTCCTATACTTTTTACTGATTCATGAAAAGGAAAAAGATATTTTCTTTGTATTGCTTTCTTCTTACAAAAATCTAATTAAATTTAGTTAGTTGTTTACTTTTTTTTCAATTCTCAAAATTATCGAAAAGAAGTTGTTTACTTTATTTTTAATTATCAAAATTACCAAAAAAGAATCAGATTTTCATTCCTACCATAGTATCTATAGTTCGATTAAGTCTCTTTTTCAAAAATAGAATTTGTTATCTAATTTTTTCTCAAGAATTTATAGTTCTCTGTATGGGTTCAATCTTTCGGGTCTTAATAAAAAATTCCTATATTACTTGATACCGATATGTATAATTGCGTAGTGTCCCAATATTTAAATATAATGGTTGCACTCTTACTTGCTTCGAAACCAAGTTTTTGGCTCCTTTGCAAAGAAGAATTATAAATAAATTGAATTGAGAAACTAACCATAGATACATTGTAGTACTATCATATCAGATAAGGATCAAGTTTTTGGCTTCTATTGTGAGGAAACTTACATCTACTTCTTAGCAGTGGAGTCAGAAATAGAAGTATATATAAGAAAAGTAGGATCAAGTTTTTGACGCTATTGACAGGGAGTAAAAAGAAAAAAAATTAGTACAATTTGAAGGAATCTTTAGAAAATAAATTTCTATTTTTAGAAAGCCTTATTTAAATTTTTAAATTTATTATAAGTATATCGTAGTATTGTTTTTATATAAGTTCTTGTTTGTGTGATTTTATTTTATTTTATAGTAATGTATGCGTAGTTCAAGTTCTAAAGAACTAGTGTCCTACGATTCTGAATTAGAAAGAACTATTTTAAAAATAAAAAAATAAAAAAATAAAAAAAAGTTAAAAAATTTAAAAAAATGGCAAACCAAAATAATCAAAATACTAAAATTTATTAAGAATTTAGACCTTTAAGAGATTAT